GATTGTGTTGTGTTTACATGTCAAACTGATTGTGTTGTGTTTACATGTCAAACTGTGTTGTGTTTACATGTCACACTGATTGTGTTGTGTTTACATGTCAAACTGATTGTGTTGTGTTTACATGTCACACTGATTGTGTTGTGTTTACATGTCAAACTGATTGTGTTGTGTTTACATGTCACACTGATTGTGTTGTGTTTACATGTCACACTGATTGTGTTGTGTTTACATGTCACACTGATTGTGTTGTGTTTACATGTCACACTGATTGTGTTGTGTTTACATGTCACACTGATTGTGTAAACACTATTCTTGGGCAATATTGACAAAAATAATCAGGATTAATCGCAGTATTTAGCTGATAACCATTAATTTGATGATTAATCTCCTGGACACACCCACATGGTCACATGACCAGTTTAGTGGGAAAGATTTGCTCTTTGTAATAATTTGTTGTAAATTGTGTCAAAATGACYGACTTCAGGCTAAACATCACATTTATATTGTGTTGATGATAAATAAATAACAGAACTTTTATTTAATGTTTGTCAGATGATTAAACGATACGATCCCGCCCAACCCTAACAAACACACGCCCCCTGAGTTTCTGTCCAATCACAGAGAGTTTCCTGTGGAAACAGGTTGTGTTGAGACGGTGTGAATGAAGCTAATCTGGGAACAAATGATGTGATTTTCATCACACAACTACGACAACGAGCTGAAACTCACGCAATCACTCTGCGGTCTGGACCGAAGTCGGCCTCGTAGAATCCATCTTTGCAGTCCTTCCCCACCAGGTCATGTGGGTGGGGTCGGTACGGCTCGTTCTTCGTCACCAGGTAAACACGAACTTTGCCCTTCCCGCAGTAATTCAGGATCTGTGAATGATGAAGACGCAGACGTGAAACCAGAACTTCTTCCTGGATCTTTGTGCAGAAGGTTGTGTAGGACCTGCACACTGGGGTAGGTCCTGTTGTTGTCGCAGCTCTTCTCCCCGGGGATGCTCCCTGCAGAGCGACCTTCACACTTGTACCTGAAGCGCATCCCCCTCTGTTTGGGCTGCTCAAAGACCTGCACTGACGGCTCCGGCACTGAGGGTCAAACACACAGAGTCCGGTCAGAGACGGGACGGAGAACGGTTCAAGAACCGGAGAGTCTGAAGTCAGGAGGTCCAGCAGGAGGTCCAGCAGGAGGTCCAGCAGGAGGTCCAGCAGGAGAAACCATGATGAGAGACAGCAGGACTGGTCCTCATCACGTCTCTGCTCTGAGATCATTAAAACTACTTCCTGTCAAATGTTGAAGAATCATCTGACCAGAACTAAGTTAGTCTTATTAACCGACCCGTTTCTGCAGCTTTAAACCAGTTAACTATGGAAGAAAAACAGCTCTGATCTCAAACTGTCAGGTTTGACAAACGTTCAGACGGCATCAGCTTCACATTCCTGCAGGAAGGGCCTCAGGCTGAAGCAGAAGTGCTACAGCTAGATGCTGCTGTACATTCAGKTAACTCAGGTGTAACAGTTCAGACTAGCCTTTAGCTCATTTTCAGGCTGTTCAAAAAGCTATCCACAGCAGGTGAGATATTTACTCTTCATAACATCTCTATAGAAGCCTGGTTGAAAACATCTGAACCTTTATTTTAAAAAATCATCGACAACTTCCTGTTCCTGTTTCTGAAAACAGTACTTCCTCACAAAACTGTTCCCATCAGAACCGTTCAGGTGGTTCTACTGCTCTGTTCCCATCAGAACCGTTCAGGTGGTTCTGCTGCTCTGTTCCCATCAGAACCGTTCAGGTGGTTCTGCTGCTCTGAGGAGAAACCATCAGGTTGAGTCGAGCCGAGAACAAAAAATAAAACTTTTACTAAAAACTGAACTGGAAACAAAACAGGAAGTAAAACTAACTGTGAGTTAAATTTATAAAAGATTTGATCAAGTCTCTGTGGACGCCTGTGTGTTTCATTCATTCATTCATTCATTCATTCATTCATTCATTCATTCATTCATTCATTCATTCATTCAT